GACAGGGACGAAGATGGAAAGCAATGTGTGCCAGGAAAGCACCAAGACAGGTTGCAGGGTCCCAGATAGCTTGACCAATTCATGTCAAAGACTTGGTTCTGGGTCTGCCCACTCTGGGGAGATTCCAAATCAGGGACCTTCGAGGTCAGGGGACCAGCTAGTTAACCCTCATGGTATGGTGGGGGAGGCTCTATGTTCCTGCTGCCTCAGGCCACGGGAGTGGGGTCCTCCAGCTCCAAATGGCCTCTCAGTTGGGTTACCACCACTGCTAACACCACTGAAGCCTCGAAGCCCCGAAGCCACCACCACCAAGACTTCTGCCACCATCATGTGGGAAACGAAGACTAACTTTCTTAGGAAATCCCCTTGGAGCAAGCTGGTGCAGTGAAGAGACCAGACCTTAATCTGACATAAAAAAAAAAAAAAAAAAGCTTGTGCCTAGTAAGTCATCAGTAAATATTAGCTATCATCATCAGTAATAATAATAAAGTACCTGTCACATAGTAGGTGTTCAGTAAATGGTAGTTCCCTGGTCCCAGGGGTGCAGAAGTTGGAGGTAGTTAGCAGCCCTCATTCCCACGGAGTCAGAGCTGCAGGAGAACACCAAATGCAACTCTTTGGTACACCGGGGAAACTGAGGACTGAACAGGGAGGACTTGCCCAAAGGCAGAAGCAAGTTCTGTCCCTAGAACTTGGGTCTCTCAAGCTAATGCATTGTCTTCATGATAAACTCAGCCAGCCCAAGGAGAGAGGTTTTCAACGTGTTGATGGCTCTAGATTCAGGTGGGCCGTGCTTCCTCCCAAGGACAGTTTCATAAGTTTGGGGCCTCAGGGAGGAGAGCACAGGGCTCCTCTGAAAGGCTGAGGCCTTGCCTCTGCAGGAGGCGAGCACAGCTTCTTGACTTGGTGCAACTCATGGACGCCTGCTCTCCTGCAGATCAGGAAGGGAGAGAGGTCACACCAAGAGGCCCATCCTGGCCCCTTGTTGGGTCCACACCTGCTGAGTCTTTAGCAGGTGTGGATATCAGCTTGGTCATCCAGCCAACCAGCCCCTGGCATTCAAAGAGCAGGGGCCACTATGGTTACTTGCTGTCTCCAGGTTTCTGGCCTTCTCTAGGGACACTCAGCCCCAGCATTGGTCTGGTCTCCCTGACCACCTTTCTTAAGCCCCCCTTTTGCACTTCTTCACCCCTTGACCCATCCCCACAGGTCAGTGAGACCCTTCAGAAGGGAAGTGGCATTCACACGGGGCCTGAGTGACCTCAAAGCCCATGCCCTTTCTGCTTGGTCTCCCTGCCCTCCAGGTGTCCCCAGTGCTGTTTCCTGTGGGTACCACCACCGCGCTCTTTCCCAGTGACTGCTCCTTCCACCTTCCACAGTCTTTTTCTGGAGGAGGCTCATTTCCCAAGGGCCTGGCAGAGCTCCCGGGTGCGATGGTGATGACAGGGCCAAACAGCTCCAGAAGCAGGAGGGCCAGCCATGCAGGGCGCCCCAGGTGCTGTCAGCAAGGGAAGCTGCTTGCAGTCAGCTCAGCCTGGGCACCTGCTCTGCAGGAAGTCGAGGGGACTTTGCTGGAAATCTGCCTTTAATCTTGGCTTCCTGTTTTCTGCCCTGGGGGACGCCCAGACAGGACTGAGTTTCAAACTATTTCACACCAGCTTCTCTAAACTGTTATCTCAAAGCAAAGAGGCTGGGGGAGGGGAGGAGATAGGGTGGGGGAAGCAGAGGCCCTTCCCTTACCAGGAGACCCTGAGAGCAGAGTGCAGCCCACCCGGAAAGGTGCTTAAGCTCTGGCCATCAACTACCAACCTAACTTTGCATCAAGCTAGCCCAGTTGGGTCTTATCATTAAAATGCAGCCCATAGTCCTGAGCTCCATACCCTACATCCAGGGGTTCCAGCCTCTCCTCTTTTCTCCTTTCCCTCACGCCAGGGACAGGTAGCCCAGCCTGGGAAAGCTAGTGCTTGAGCCTACCTGGCTGAGAGGGGGCTCCTCATCATTTCCTCCCGAATCCTAAAACCTGAGTCCCCTGCTCTAATGATTTCCTCTCCTGAAGTCCACTGCACGGGGAAGCTGGTGCTGTAGGCTTTGGAGGTCCTCAGACCTGAAGCCCAGTCCTGGGGGTGAACTCTGAGAAAGCTTTTTCTTGTTCCAAGCCTTGGTGGCCTAGCCTGTAAAAGGTGGCTCCAAATCCTGGCTTGACATCTCCATATCTCACAGATGTCTTCAACTCAGTTTGTCCAAAATGCAGCTCCTGAGCATTACTCCCAGCCTGCCCCTCTCCCAGGCTCTCCCACCTCAGCAAAGAATACCACAGTTTCCTCAATTGCTCCAGCCACACCTGAGGACCAGGCCTGCTTTCTTCTGTGGCCTTACTCCCCACAAACAGCCCCTCATCAAGAACTATCACATGGCTCTCCTTTGTCTATCAGAGCTCACTTCCATCACCACTGGCAGGACCATGCAAAGCATCCTCCTGGTCTCTTGATCTTCACTCATGTCACTCTTCTGCTTAAAATCCTTCAACAGCTCCCCATTGCTCATATAATAAAACCCAAACTCATGTAACAAAATACTTGCTCCACAGTGCCCTGTAGGACCTGGCCCCTTTTCTGCTACTCTCCCCAACTTGCTGGTCTTGTCTCTCAAGCTGCTGGGCCCTCTGTATCTGTCTCCCCAGTCTGCTGGCCTCCATCAAGCACTCATCACCTTCATACCACAGGGTCTAATTGACCTGTTTATTGATTTATCTTCTTGGGCAAGACCCATGCTTACTCTTTGCTCACTCCATCTCAAGCATCCAGAATGTGCATAGCAATTAGTAGATGGTCAATAAGTATTTGCTGAATGAGTGAATGAATGAATGAATGAATGAATGAATGAGGAGCTTGGAAGTTACTTAGCTCTTCCACTAGAGGAGAGTTCTGTGGGGCAGGGCCCTTTATTGCTTTGTCCCCTGTGCCTATGGTTCAGGGAAGTTAAATTTGTTATTTCACTCTGCTGAGAAGAGGTGGAGTCGATTCAAATGCAAGCCTGTTGGACTCCAAAGTTCACATCTGGGCCACATAACCCCAGGGAAAATGTCAGATGTACTTGGGTTAAGGGAAGATGGGTAGGGAACAAAATTGGGCCAGGGATTAGAGCATTTTCCCCAAGTCCCTCACAGTTCTTTCCCATTTTGCCAGCTGATTCAGCCAGGGTAGGGGAGATGTCAACTTCTCCCTTCCAAAAGCCTTTGCAGAGCTGCTGAAATGCTTTTCTTTAGGCTAAGAGGTGGCCCCATCGGGCCCCACTTTATCATTCCATCTTGACCTCAGAGGAAAGAAAGGGAAACCAACTGAGCTAAGCACCCTCTCTCCCCGCCTCACCCCAGGCCGTTATCTTGCTGAATCCTACCATCTCTCATAAGAGAGGTGTATTTTGAACCTGATCTTATAGAAGAGGAAACTGAGCTGGGAGACCTTAAGTAACTAACCCAAGGTCACACAGCCAGTAAATGGCCCAGCTGAGATTTAAGATTTGAACCCTAAATTCACACTTTTTTCCACCATAGTATCTCTGAGACTTATTGGGCATCTCCTCAAAGGGTAGGGGTATGACTACCGCTTCCCTCCTTAAAGGGCTGGAGTCTTATTGGCAAGCTGGCCCAGAGGTGCATTGGGTCAGAGGGTCACCTGTGGTTTGTCTGTGAAGGCACACCCAACTCCTGCTCCTGGTACGTAAGGCTCTTTGCAATCTGTAGCCGCAGTCTCCCCAGCTCACTCTCCCACAGGGCCCTTTACTGTCCACCTCCTCCTCCCTCAGCCCCTCACTTATTTTGAATTTCAAGACTTTGTCATACATCTCATTTCCCCTACTGGAGAATGTCCCTCCTCTGTGCCCACCCAACCCTGGCCCTTCCTTCAGGGCCCAGTCCTAGGAAATGCCTCCACATGTCCTACTTACACTGGAGTCTCTGGTCTCTCCCCCATCACTGACTCCCCCCACTCTCTAACCACCCACCCACATCCACTGTCTGCTCCAGTAGCTCAAAGTAGATCACCTCCCTGCTCCTTGTTAATGAAATATAACAACAGGCGAGAGACTTAACTGAAGGCTGACCATGTGCCAGCCCCTGCACACTAAGCACTTTAAATGTATTAACTCATTTCCTGCCCTACAAAATCTTAAGAAGTTGGTGCTATTATTTCCCCCATTTTACCAAATGGGGAAACTAAAACCCAGGGAGGTTATTAACTTTCCCAAAGTCACGCAGCTATTAACATCCCCATTGCTTCTAGGCTGAAAACAAAATTTAAGCAAGTTCCACAAGGCTCTTTGGTCTCTCTAGTCCCTAGTCTTCCAGGGACCCCGTTTCCCACCACTCTCCTGGACCTACACTGCCATACTGAGCTATTTTCATGCTCACTTATCTCTCCCTGCCTTTGTCCATCCTGTTCCCTCTGCCTGAGGTCCAAGCTCTGTGAAGTCTCGCCATTAGCCTCCCCCTTCTTTTCTGCTTCCTGTGGACCTTGTACACCGCCTCTCCATTTTTATCAGTTGTTTCTTTGAGCTTGTCTGTTGGCCGGTCAGTACTAGGGAGAACACCTTGACAGTAATGTAGTGGTCCAACTAGTAGGCTCCAGAACCGGGCCTGTCACGTGGTCAGCGCCATTAATCGTCTGAGAATAAATGAATGAAATGAATGCTTCCTGCCGCGCGAGTGAGGCCCACTCTTCATAAACAGATCCAAGGAGAGGGGCCCAGGCCCGGCCTCAATCGCTTCTACATCAGGCGAGCTGCGCCCAGGGAAGGCTGGAGGTGGCTCCAAGGCGGGCTGGTCGGCCCACTGCGAGGGACCTTCGGGAGCCTCCACCGCAGGCCTGCAGGTGGGGGCAGGGCGTGGGCGAGGACACACACCCCCCGTAGTGCCCTCCGCGCCCGGCAGGGGGCGCCGCCCCGCCGGCCCACGCCCCGCCGCACGCCGGGCAGGCCCCCTCGCGCAGGCGCGCTGCCGCGGGCGGAGAATCCGGGCCGCGCTTCCTCTCGCCAGGCCTGTGAGCTTCCTCCTAGCAGAGCCCCGGGCGAGCTGAGCTTGGCCGCCGCCGCCGAGCCCGCTGCCGCCCTCCCGTTCCCGCCCCACCCCGCACCCTGTCCGGGGGTCCTGCCGGGGTGGGGTCCGAGTGGGGCGACCACCCGGCCGCGCCGCCGTCGGGACAGTCCCCCGGCCAGCGGTCCCTCCCGCCCCAGCCAGCCTGTGGCCGCGGGAGCCTGCGGGGCGTGGAGCGCGGGGAGCCCCCCGCGTCCTGGGCGGCCCCCGGCAGCCGGCGCGACGTTCCAAAATCAAACCTTGGTGGCGGCGTTCGGAAGCGGAACTCTGCCGGGGCCGCGCCGGCTACATTGTTTCCTCCCCCGATTCCCTCTCGCCCTCCTTCCCCCGCCTTTCTTCCCTCCCCGACCCTGGCCGCGCGGCTGCCCCCTGTGTCCGCCTGGCCGTCCCTCCTTCCCCTCTCTTCGCACCCATATCTCTTTGTACCGCATCCTCGGGGGACCCCTGCGCCCCTCCCCTCTCCCCTGGCGGCATGGACCGTCCTGCAGGCCGCTAATGCTGCCCAAAGCGAGGTGGCCCGGACCGCAGTGCCCCAAGAGAGGTGAGTGCCTGGCAGGCCTGGAGGAGGTGGGCAAATCTGAGTACTTCCCGAGGGAGGAGGGTGGAGGTCTCACATCCCGCTTCTGTTGCTGCTGTTGCAGCTGCCGTCGCGTCCACTCCCATCCCCCACCTCCCTTACTCCCTTCTTCCCGGTTTCGAATTCTCCCGGGAGTCACTGTCAGCCCGACTGGGAGGGGAGTACAGCAGGGAGGTACTGCCCTATGAGCCCCACAGACTTTGCTCAGGCCAGCCTTGTCTGTCCCCCTCTTCCTCCCTTGTGGGGTCTGGTTGTAGCCGGGAGGGAAAGGGTCAGCTTGGGCCAGGGCCCTGGAGAATGGACAGTTTGTCATTCCGTACCCAGGGCCTCCCTGCAGGCTCCCTGGCCTGTCTGGTTCTGACCCCTCCCTCCCTCCCCACAGAGGCCCTGTTTGCTGTAGGAAGCCCAGGGCCCAGAGATGGAGCTTGTCACCCTCATCCTCCCAGAAATCCAGGCCTAAGCCAAGGAACCTCTGACCCTTGGGTGGAGAAACTGGGCAGGGCCTCTGTCACGGGTAGAGGTGACACTGGGCATTAGAACCATGCCCCCACCTCTTGGCAACCTGGTCAGCCCATTCTCCCAGGCTCCTCAGGGCCCAGGCCAGGTGTAAGGAAGGGGCGTGTCCAGCCACCAGATCCTTGGAACTTAACTAGGGGCTCCCTCACCTCCCCTCTTAGTAGACCAGGGAACTGAGGCTCAAAGGGGGAAGTTGCTACCCCAGGCTTCTGGCAGAGTTTTGCCATCTATTCGTCCATCCCGCACACTGCAGAGCTGGACTGCTGTAGGTGGAGGGCAGCCAGAGAGGCACCTTCACTCACCAGGGACACAGGCCCCCATCCTGGCCCAAGGGACTCGGTGGAGTGAGCATGTGCTCCCCTATTGAGGGCTGTAGAGAGGCAGAGGACTTCCGGCCCCAGCTCTGCCTGGGTATGGGGCTCAGACATCTGCACTGCCCCTGGGATTACCCCCTGGTGCCTGAGACTGGGTCCCACTGATGAGGATGTGGTGAGTGTGTGGGGGCATCTGTCTGGTGTGGCCCTGACACTGAGCTGAAACAGCCTGGTAGTCAGCCCTGGCCCAGCCCTCCCACACCTTTGGCCCAGCTAGCATAGGAAAAGCCAAGTTCAGAACATGAATTTGGATCTAAATGGGGAAGGTGAGAATCCTGTTTCCATAGGGAGCACCCCACAGCCTTGGCATAGCAGCATTTTCAGGGGATACCCAGGGGCCTGTTCCAAGCTCCCCACACCATGGGGATCTCAGTGTCTTTCTGGATGGGACCCCAGCAGGGCGAAGGCAACAGGAGGGAGATTGGGAGTACAGCAGGACCCTCTTGTATCTGAAAGGGTGGGAGTTTCCCTAGAGGATGCTGAGCTATGTCTGCGGCCCTGCTCAGGACTCTGCCCTTGATTTAAAGTTTTTTTCCCAGTTGCCCTGACATGCACAGTGGAGGGGACCCAGATGTGGTGGGCCTGTGAGGCTCCCCTCACCCAGCCCTAACTTCCTTTCCAGCCTGAGAGGTTGGGGCTGAGGCCTGACATGGTTGAGCTGTACCTGGATGGCTGGGGTCCCACGGCCTTTGTGGAAAGAGGTCTGGCTATAGGCTAGCACATGTGCAGGAATGTGTTTTCCTACCTGGCGAGCTTGGTGCCTTCCTCCCTCTCAGAAGTGGCTGCTTTTCTCTCTGTTGAATTGGGGAGCAAGGAAGGACCAGAAAACAGTCCCCAGCACCACCACAAGGGACAACTGGGCCACAAAAGGTTGAGTCACCACCGAGCAGCCCAGAGTACAGGCCAGGACCGAGGCCCAGGAGCCACGGTTAGCTGCCCCAGCAAGCCACCAGGTAGCCTGAATGGGCAGGACAGCCTGGGTCCAGTTCTGGGCTCCATCTTTTGAGGAATTTCAAAGCCTTGACACATAGTCCCCAAAGAGCAGAGGTATTTGGTCTGGGAAAGAGAAGGTAGGGAGGGACCCTCATGTGTCTGAGGCGCCGTCCCATGGTAGAAGCTGTCCCAGACACCAGGGCCAGAGCTGGGGGCAGATGGGGCCCAGGAAAGCGAGTCTGAGCTCATTACGAGAAAATTATGTATGTATTAGTTTCCTAATTTAGAAAGTAACAAAGCAGCACTACAGGAAATGTAGAAAACAAAACAAAAATCACCCACTATTTCTTCCCTGGCACAGTGACTAGCATTTTGGAGTTCCCTGCCAGTCTTTCCTGGTTTTTTTTTCCTTCGCCACTCTTGTCACTTCACTGTGCATGCCATGACAACTTTTTTCATTTAATACTGTATCTGTGGGCATTTTCTCATGTTGCTACACGGTCTGTGTAACTTTGCCTGGAAAAAGCTGTAGAAGTTTCCAAATAGCTGCCACAGCAACCCTACCTAGACCCTCTTACTAAGTGTATGCACTGTTGTTTCCTGACTGTTGCTGGGGTGGTGGTTGCTACAGGCCCCCAAAGCAGCCAGGAGTCGGAAAGAGCAGGCAGCTTGACACCCATCCGACCTGGTTTCCAGGCCCAGCCATGCCATTTAGGCCTGGGAGGAGGGACCTTGGACAAGTCACCCTCTCAGCCAGGGCTCCTTTATGTACACAGCAGGGGCAGTATACCTGCCCCAGAGGGGAGTGTGCAGACAGTGTGAATGAACCAAGGTGCTAGAATGTGCCTCGCACAGCCCCTGGCCTTCACAAACACTTTGTCAGGAGGGGGCCTTTGCTGATGGTGTGCCCGCCACAGGCTGTGGAGAAGACACTGGGCCAGAGTTGGCTAGTGGCTCACCAGCCAAGGGCTGCTCTGTGCACCAGGCCCTTCTAAAACCCTCTGGCCCTGAGGTTCTGGACTGTTCTGGCTGGTGCCTTGTCCCGCCTTCTTGCCTGCAACCCCACCACCCCCGTCACCCTGTGATTGGCCGGCCCAAATCATGGCCTGGCCCTGAGAAGATGGGTTACTGGTTGGTTTCTGGGACCTGACCCCACCCGTCGTCTTCTCCATGCTTCGGAGCTGAGTGAACAAGGCCTCTTCTCTGAGAGCCCAGCTGCCTCCCGTCCCCAGCTTTGGCTACTTCCTAGGCAGGCCTCGCATTTCTCCAGTGGAGACAGAGGCCTGCTTTCCCTGGGAAAACTGAGACTTGGGCAGGGAAGCCAGGCATCCTGACCAAGCCAGCCTCATCTCCCCACCCTTTCCCAGGGACCTGGGGCGGGAGGAAGTTGGGGCAGGCAGGGATTTTCAAACCCCTGGCTGGGAGTTGAAGAGGATGTAGTTGGTCCCCAGATCCCTGGGGAAGTCTTGTGTGTTAGCGCCTTCCTCCTTGGCAGGTGTTGCCCAGCCTAACCTGAGTGTGCACTCCCGTGACATTGCGTGCTTCCTCTTGTTCTGCTTCTCTGGAGACCAGAGAACTGGGAGTCCTGGGACCACCCCTTGGATGGTAGGAGGAAACCAGTCTCAGCCTGGCACCCCTGAGCCTAGGAGACCATAGTCCCAGGTGACCCTAGGATGGCCCAGGACTGACTGAGGCAGCGGGTCCTCCCCAGGTGGCCCATTCAATGTCTGACCTCAGACTCAGGCTGCCAGACTTCGGCCTGCGGAGCACCTCTTTCCTCCCTGGTCGTGGTACAGGGGAAGTGGGTATTGCATCTACCGTTCCTGTCCCACAGCTTGGGCTGGGATGAGGTCACAGGGTGGGGTCCTCTCCAACATGCTGGCCCGGCTGGGGTGAGCCCTTTGGATGTTTCTCAGTGTCCCCCTCCTTGGTTGGGAACAGGATGGGTGGAGGAGCAGGCCACCCCCCACACTAGGCAGGGAGCACTACCTCCCTTCCTCCTCTCCTCTGGGTCCCTTCATCCAAAGGCTGGAAATAGAATCTGCTAAGTAATGATTAAAGTCAAATTTAGACCTAAAAATAAAGAGTTGGTGAAGGAAGAGCTAGTGTGCTCCCTGCGTGGCTGAGGGGAGAAGTGAGCAAGGCGAGACTAGCTTTGGGGGGGGGGCAAGCCCCTGCTTCCCAGGAGAGGCCAAAGCCCACTGGGGTATTGGGAGTGCTCCACCAATTGTGGGGTCTCTCAGCGAGCAAGATGCAGCCTGCACCAATCGGGCAGATTGGCAGGACCAGGGAAAGAATCCCATTTTTCCCCTGGGGAAACTGAGGCCCAGAAGGAAGAAGTGGCCCATCCAGCGACTGTCTGGGAGCTCTTCTTGGCAGGCCCCCAGGGACCTGAGGGCCCCATGCAGCCCGTCTCACCCTTTCTGCCTGCTCAGTTTCTCTTCCTGGTTTTGAGGTACTGTGATGAGAGCAGCTTCTCATCACACACTAGCTGTGTACGCCTCGGTGGGGCTGGGCCTCCAACCGCAGCTTCCCCCTGCCTCCCCCCACCCCCACCCCTTCCGTGGTCTGGGCCCAGAGTTGCAGGAGCAAGCAGAAGAGAGGCTGCCTGGTGCTCTCCTCTGCCTGCCCTGCTCTCTGCACAGTTGGAAGCCTTGTGGGTGGGTGAAAACCTGGTGTCATCTGACGCCTGCCCACCCTGGCTGCTGCTTCTCAGCCCTGCCCAGCACCTGGTCCTCACCCAGACCCCGGCATCTGTGGCCTGTGTTCACACTGCAGTGAGACTGGAGGGGAGAATGAAGGATCCCTGCGAGCTCCCCTGCTGGACAGTAGAGGAGTTCAGACTCAGAGAAGAGTCAGCTAGGGGAGGCCTGTGGTTCCAGCTTCCTGGCAGGGCTGGTGGGAGCGCAGAGCTTCTGCGGATCTGTGTAGGCTGGAGCAGCCAGGAGGGCTTCCTGGAGGGGAAGGGCCATGAAAATCAAGAAGCATTTCCAGAAGAGGCAGGGTGGGGGCAGAGATCGTTGCTTGAAGCTTCTACCCTCTCTAGGGCTGCTGGCTGCTCTGTGTGAGACAGTATGGCAGACAAGGACTGGGCAGAGATGTAACTAACCCGTGTTTCCCAGAGCAGGAGAGCCAGGCTCC